GCCTCGCGTTACTTGAGGAGGTTCATCGTAAGATGAACTTCGGAGGTCCACTGCACCCCGGAAAAGGCAAACATAGGGCTCCAAGATCTCATCCCTATACCTCACAGCAGTCACAGCTCTGTCAAAGACATGGAGAGTGTGCGACCATCTAACATGATGCCTGCCCAGACAATTACACTGCCATAATTGTTGATTTTGCAGACATTGGAGGGTAGGTACCGGGTCCCTGGTTCTATCCATATGAAAGTATGGCGAAAATCGGTGTTTAGGCTGAAACGAGGCTCACCGGTGAACAGAACGGTCGCGCATTGCTCCGTACTTATTTCTCTATGCTGCGTGCACCATGCTAATTGGACTTTCCTTTCCGTAGACATGAAGGGGACGCAAACAGCCGGTCTTCTGGTAAACAACCCTCTCTCATTCAGTCTTTTGGAAACAGTCATCCTTTTTACACGGGCTCCTGTGGCTACATACAGGTTCCGAGAGAACTGAGAAGTAGAGAGAGAAAACCCGAGAGAGCTAAAATATATGAATATTTAATTAGATGTAAATTTTATGTTCTTTGGTTAATTTTATTTTGTAACTTCCTTTTGCTTTTATACCGAGAAAATCCTGAGTAAGGAAGATTTATCAAAACGCTTTTAAATATAATGAAAATAATATGAACAATCAATGCACATAAAACACACATTATGAATAAACTTAGTATGTACCACATATTACAATTAAGTACAAATATTACATAAATTTCTACAGCAGTTTAAGACAATTCAGATAAAATAAAATTTAAAAGAAATATTATGCTAAAAATTACTATGGGCAGGGAAAGGTAATTTGTACTATTTCAGTTTATTTCATTTGTTGCTGGAAATTAACATTTTCTTTAGTAAAAGCTGAACAATTAAAAATCATTAGATTCAGTGATCTATTGAAAGACTTGGCGATGTGATAAAAATTCAGTAGTCTCCTGGTTTTAGCAGAAGAGCTGTCAGTTATGCCAATATCACTTTAGGGAATTCTTTATGCTTTAAAATTCCATCAAGATTTTTTAGTTTTTTGATTAGACGGGGAGTATCAGTTCTTTTCGATTCTCTAACTATCTGTTTTCCCCCTGTAAACTACAAAATTGTGATTGCAATTTATCTGTTGCAACATAAAAGCCTTCATCTCTGAAAACTCAAGTGAGTAAAACTGGAAATATACTAAAAAATTATCTTATATCCACAGCTTAAACTGTGCCGAGCCCACCAGAGACCAGCTCTGGTACTTTTTAGTTTTTTGGGATAAATCATAGTTCTAGCTAGAGCACACCACAACACAAAATAAGAAGGCCCCTGCACTTCTTTTATGTAACTGAACAACAATTTCAATAGAAATTTGATGTTAAAACTTTTAATTTTAGCAATCAAAATTATATTAAAATCCCTTATTAAATTTTTAATTATTTAATTATTAATGATGTTATTTGTCATTTTATTTATTTATTCTTGTTCCTCTTTCCTGATAGTTTTCCATTGGGCTTCGGCACTTCTAATTCTAGAAATTAACCTTTTAACTGTCATGCCCGAGATTAGCACCGGTGTTCGAAAATGTCACGCCCGAGTATTACTCGGGGTAATTTTGAGTGCATCGTATTGCTAGACTCGAATAAAAAATCGGGAGAAGTTTATTTCGGCTTCATCTCCTTGTCAAACTCGACTGTATCTCGGGAAAAGTTAATGTGCGCTCAATTCAATAGATGACAGCACTATACTGAAGATTTCAAAGGTTAGAAGTTATAAGTTCTTTGGTTCAAAGTGCACGGGATCTTTTTGTTGTATCTTTTTGTTCAAAGTGCACGGGATCTTTTTGGTGTCCAGTTCTTTGAAACGTTATATAGATGATTTAGATTCTTCAACAGAAGATGAAGGATGTGTGTTTGATGAGCAGTATTCATGATCTTCCATGGTCAACCTCAAAAATAAAAAAAATGAAGATATACTCAAGCCGAAGATTGTTTCTGACTACAGTCTAACTATGGGTGGTGTAGATCGCAGTGATCAGGAAATATCCTTTCATCCAACAATGCGAAAACGTCAGAAAAAATATTATGAAAAGATATTTTTACATTTACTAGACAAGGTACTCTGGAACTCATATTTGCTCTATAAAAACGTAGTTGGGAAATGTATTACATTTTTAGAATTTCGAATTCCAGTTGTAGAAGAGCTTTTACATAAATATGATGATGCAGCTTCTGGACAAAAGAATGTTGGCAGTCCACCTATAATAGATAACCCTGCCCGTCTTACGGAACAACATTTTATTCCCCATATTCCTCCTACTCCTGCGAAACATGAGCCTACAAGACAGTGCAAAGTGTGTTGTTCGGAAAAGAATAAAAATGGGAAAAAAGGAAGGAAACACGATTCTGGTGTAGTGATTGTGGAGTTGGTTTGTGCTTGGAAAAGTGTTTCCAGTTGTACCACACAAGACTGAATTACTGAACTATTAATAGATATTCACTTTTATTTATTTATTTATTTTCTAGAAAATAATTAACTTTTTTTTCATATTTAGCGGATATTGTATGATTTAGGGCTGTAATGATCAGTTTATTTTTATGTTTTAATCAAGAAATCTATTTAGTTTATCAAAAAAATTTAAAAGACAACCTGTCTTTCTTTCACCCGACACGGTGTCCTGACGTTACAGCTATATAAATGGTGGCAGCGGTTCAGATGAGAAAATCCATGCAGAAATTACAGACCGTCAGGCTCTAAAATTTCATCTCAAGATTGTGGGACAGTCATTGTCCGGATATCAATAGTGTTTTGCAGATATTACAGACCGTCAGGTTCTGAAGTGCAGCACGAAAAGTTACGAATATCAGTTCGAAAAAGTGATTACAGCTCTTCGAAGTGGGGAGATAAGAAAATCCATGCAGAGATTGCAGACCGTCCGAGTCTGAAATTCATCTCGAGTTTGTAGAACAGCCATTGTCCCAACATCATCAAGTGTTTGCAGATAGTACAGACCGCCAGGCTCTGAAGTGCAGCACGAATTTACGAACATCCATTCGAAAAGTGATTTACAGCTCTTCGAAGTGGGGAATAGAATCCACGAAGAAGTTACGGACATCAGTCCAGAAAAGAGGAACGACAGTCTCCTGAAATAAGCTCATCTTTAAGCGTGGTGATAAAGGTGTTACTTGTGCGATCATCTTTGTGTTCGAGAAAATTTACCGCAGTGAGCGTGTGGGACAATCATTGTCCGAAGATCATCAGATCATTGTGATGTGTAGAGTATTGAAAAAGTGATATGTGGGTGACCACCCTTGTGATCGAGAAAATTTAGATCAACAGATCTTGTGTGTGTGCGTTATAGGTGCCTGGATCATCAGTGCCCATAAAATCTTAAATTGTGAGAAGCGAAGTTACATCACAACCATTTCAACTCTCCAATCCAGACGGGTAAGTACCTTGGATTTTTATATTGAGGCAGTAAAGTAATTTAATTTATTTCTGTAAATCAGTATGTAAGTTCACATAACTGTTTTAAGTTAATCAACTGTTTTCCTGTAAAGCTTAAAGAAAATGTGCTTTTTGGTTGGGTTTTATGTTACAATAAGAAAGTATAAATTTAGAATTTAAACCTGTGTTAATAGATTTTTTTTTAATATCTGAAATGTTAATGTGTTGTGCTTAAATTAAACTTATATATTGGATTGTGTAAAAGAGTAGAATTACGGTAACTTGAAGGTTTTAATGTTAGGTGGCATTCTGACATATCATTTCTAAGACGTTTTGAATGTTATAAATATTAGAATTTCTGTTAAGGTGTGTCAAACTTTTATTTGTGTAAGAACTGAGAAATTTTTTTTTCTATTGAAGGAGTAAAAGAGGAATGATAAAACCCCCCCCAGTATCTTTCCTTTTAACTGTTGTCATATTAATGTTAATTACTAGCATATGGATAGGTATTGTGTCATTTATTGTATTTCTGAATGCATATTTTAACATATCCCAAATTTTGAGGTAAGTATATTGTATTATCATAAGCAAGTGTGTTTTACGCAACTGAATTTAAAGCTTTTCAGATGATAATATTATTTGTAGTTTCATACGTCCTCAAGTAGACAATTTTTGTTTTTTTTTATTTTTGAATGCATAATGTGCATATTATAGTGTAAACTGTCTTGTTTTTGTCTAACATCTGTAAAATAGGTTGTGAAAAAATTATAAAAGTTTAATTTTTACTCTCTCTTGTGAAAATGATATCTGTTTAAAATCAATTGTATGTATCTGTAGTTGTGAGGGAGCTAAAATTGTTAGGATCATAATTTTGGTTATATCATGGCATTCTTAGCAAAAGTTAGGTAAGAGGATCTTAAATCCTTGGCTGAAGAGTTAGGGGAAAAAGTTAGCCCTGAACTTAGGATATTGGATTTAAGACAGCTGATTATGGGGAAATGAATCCTATGAGGACGAACTAGTGAAAGGCCTGTTAGAAAATATCACTTCAACGAGGCTTGAGAGAGAAAAAAAGGAGCAAGAAAGAATTAGAAGAGAAGAAGGAGAAAGGCGCAGTGGCTACAAAACTTTAAAAATTTTACCCATGCACTTCAAAATATCAATTTTTAACTACTTAAGTATATTTTATTTTGTACTAAACATTTGATTTTTCCAATAAAAAAATTTGACAATTTGTGTACCCAAATCATCAAAATAACTTGACAGTTAAAGGGTTAAGGGCTGCTTATATCAGAAACAGATTGCAGTTGTAAAAGTAGAAGCATTTGCAACTTCAGCATGTAAAATTTCATTGTGAATTGGAAGTTTACACAGCATGTAGCCGCATACTCAGCCGAAGTAACTTCTGACTTGTAAATACAATTTCATCATCATTCACCATTTTTTTTTTATTATTTTCCATTTTACTCATGATTTACATGACAAACAAAATCAGAACTCAAACAAAGGTTGGTTATTGATTTTATTTAAAAGAAAATTTAAAATTACCTTCCCTCAACCTCCATTTCATTTGAGTAACCAAATGTTCAAAACGACTTTTGGAGGGCTTGACAAGCTTAAGTTTATACTCAACATTTCCTTCAGCAGCTTCAGGTGGCAGAAAATCAGGAAAAGATGTAATATAGGATCCAGTTTCATCCTGAATGTCAGGATCAAAAAGGCCAACAAACGAATCCATTTGTTGCAGGTAAACACACAGTGTCCTAGAAATATAACAATTATTTTTCTATAGATTCACATGTACAAATAAGTACAAATATTACATGCAATATGCAATAAAGGACCACTAATCACACTTTATCTGTCAATAACAGCCTAAGCAACAAAAAAGTCTACTTTGTTGTTTCATAAGCTTAAACATTAAACATGCATTTATTCTTATTCTTTTTTATCAATTGTTTTGCATTTACCAATTTCTTATTCTCATCCACTACATAACTCTTTTTTCAGTTTCCCAATTGACCCATTTTTCATGCCAAACTGATTAATTCTATATTCTGAACTTTTTCAAATGACTCTTTTTAATATTCAAAATAAATTTCCTTAGTAATTAGATTTGACAGCACCAATAACAATTCTTTTGGAAACTGATTACCAAATAATTTATTTCAGATGCCAATGTTATTAATTGCCTATTCTAATGAAAATCAGAGCAACAATGTGATTCAAATATAGACAAGGTTAGTTTATTACATCAGCTATAGCAAAGCAACAATGGCTATCTGCCTAAGGGAAAAGATGCCTTCATGGAGAGCTTTGGTCAAGCTGGCTGTATTCACTAATTTTAATCTCTTCAGTAACTGGTGAGCCTAAGAATTTAGAAAAAAGTAATTTTTTAATACAATAGCATGTATTAGATAATAATGGGAAACAGTTTATTTTTATCATAAAAAGAGTAAAATCAGTAAATGTTGGGCTTGTCAGTTGCATTCATAACTACTTAAGAGTTAAATAACACTTTCAGAGTACTAAAAAAAAGTTTTAGTGAGTTGTTTTTCGGAAAAAAGAGAGAGAGAAAATACTGTCTTATCAAGATGTATTAAAAATAATTATGTGAAAAATGATGAATCATACAATTCTTCAAGATGACAGCTTGTCAGAAATTAAATATTTCTTCAGATTTCTCATCTGTTTTAAGAGTAAAAACATTACCAAACAAACCAAAAAAAAAAAAAAAAATCAATTATAACGAAAAGAAGTTATAATCCTAATAAATGGGCCTGATATATTTAAAAGCACAGGAGAGAAAATATCTGAAATATAAAAATGTAAGAAGAAATTTAATGCCTGCAAAAATATTTGTAGATATGAAATGTCATCATAATAATTTAAAAAAAAAAAAAAACTTTTGGTAACAGAGAAGAATGAAAGCATTTTATCGTGGGGGCTGTTTAATGTGATCAGTTTGTCCATGGCTATTTTGGTAACATTAAAGGACAAGAAAAAATATATTTAAAAATAACAACGGAATTTAATAAATCCAATGAAACTAGAAACATATACAAATAGTTACTTTTCACAACATTGTAATTAAGAAAAAATTCTTTATGAACTGTTCATAATGTCTTTAATGCAAAAGTTCATTTATGAATTCTTCATAACATTTCTGGAAATTATTTAACTGATACTGTATCCTTAATCTTAATACTCACAGAGCATACCTCATTGTTAATGAACCTGCCAATGTAAAATTTAAAACTAGGCAAAAAGGTAATCTTAGTTTGCATAGCTGTTTTCATTGAAAAAAAAAAACATCCTGCAGAGATTGTTTTGGTCTTGAAGAACAGGGACCTGTGCCTGATTACCCTCAAAACTGATAGAGTTACTGAAAATCTACTTCAAGCAAAGTTTTTTTTTTGGGGGGGGAGGGGGCTAATTTTTAATAATTGATTAAAATTGAAACTAAGTATTTGGTGACCTAATCTCTACTTGATGATATTTCTCTCTCACTCAGGAACTTGTAAAATCAATTTTGAAACATTTGGTGACTTGGAGTTTTTAAAAAGAAAAAAAAAAAAAAAAAATATTCTGAAATATTTTGATTATATTAACCAAATTATTGATCACGAGTGGTATATTATCCATATTTTCATATACAAACAGGTGTGGCTTTGGAAATTTGATTTTACTATATGAATGATAACATTAACTATGATCACATTCATCAATGTCTACTGTAAATTTAGAAAGTCAACTTAAACAAAAGTTTTTAAATAAGAAGTTGTGGTATAGCTAAACGATTCTAAATAAATAAATGAATGAGGGTTTGATAGATGACAGTAAAATCTTAAGATCTTGTTTATTCACTTACTCACCTTTTCTGGGGGGGGGGCGGCAGAGGGCTTATGAAATAACATTGCTATCTGCAAAGAATATTTTAGGGATTCTAATCAGATAAGTGAGGCAACTGCATTCATACTGGTTTATTTAATTTTAACTTGAAGCGCAAGAAACCAAACCTATATTATTTAATTAATTTCCTGCAGATAAATTTAACTCATAATAAGCTATCAAACAACTAAGTATATATTTTAACTTATTGTGTGCTTGTATTTACTAGTACTTTTATTTTTGTTTGCTAGTTTTTTTTAGTGTAGTAACTTGTATTGATACTTAGTTACTAATTTACTTATTATCAAGTCACTTCTATTTCCTTTTACTTATACTTGTATTTGCTAATTCTTTTCCCTTCCTTTTACTTACTTTAATATGGATTGTACATTTGCTCTTTTTCCAATAAATTAATTGCAAACAGCTATTCATTTTCCCTAACTACTGTACTTAATTTCATACTTACTCTGTATGCTGATAACATAAAACATGTTCTTCAAAAGTTGTTTAATTAAAATTTTACTTAAATTCCATTCCTTGGAATAATCTATATGCACCAATCTACAGATTACATATAATATATATATTTCTATAAAATAAGTAATGAAGTAATGATATCGAAACTTGTTTGGACTGACAATTCGAACTACGCTATTTTATACTGCTACAGTGAGCCCCCAAAGGTACGAAAATCAGACGTAATGAGCTATATCAATAGCTTTTATTTATTTATGCATTTTTGTCTTTCAAAATTACTCCAAGTTTTAACAAAAAAATTACAAACTCTTAAAATCATCCATGCTTAAGATGTTAGGATACACATTACATCCATAAAGAAATCCCCTTTATGTTACTTTTCACCTTTATCCCTATTTTTCTCGGTTTCCTAAACAAAAATTTTCCAAGACACATGTGAGCCCACCTCTAAAAGAATGAGTATATTCTAAAACAACAGGAACATCTTTTCCGAAAGTTTAAAAACTCAACATATGATTTGATCAGAAACCTTATCAATTATGACCCCAGCCTTGAACGCATGGTTAAAAGACAGAGATCAATACATCACAATCCTTCTTGGTGACTGTAAATTTGGTGACTGTAAATATGTAAATATTTATTTCATCTATTTTTACTCTCCTAAATATTGCGTTTTGTGTAAGTGTTGTGTTTGTGAACCTGCCAAAGCAGGTATAGACTTTGGTTTCCCTGGCAAAGCAGGATAAGGACTTTGCGTTTAAATATTTATTTTACTTATTTAAATTGCTAAATCACATGTATTAAATCATTCTCACCAAGAAGTTCTGTGTTTCCAAGTACTCCTAAGATACTCAAGCCCCCCCCTCCCTGTGAGCTACCCTCAACAAATAGCAAGTTAGTACCGTAGAGTGACACTAAAACTTATATTAGAACTGTGCTCAATTTAATTTCAAAGAACTGGACTTTGTGTGATATTTCCAAAGCTTAACTGATTGGAAGTCAAATGTCAAGGTTTATTTATTATGTGAACTTTATCAATTGCAAGCTTAAAATGTTTCACTTCTAGGATCACGTGACACCAAAAGTGCTCTCTTAGAACTTACGCTAAAAAGTGTTATCTTTAGTGACTATTTCCCAAGTTAGAAAAGTAAACTTTAGTTTAATAGATTGAATATGACCCTTTAAAGAACTCTGAACTTTTACTTTTGCCTCTTGCCACGGCTATGAATGCCAGACTTAGGTCGTGAAAATTTTTACACCTCTGGGTGATGGTAAACATATTAGGTTTGCCTTATTTGTAACTTATAAGCGAATTGTTAATGGCAACTAAGAAAGATCGGCAAAAGCTCTCAGCAGCTGAGGCCAAATGGTGAAGGATAACGATGGCGATGATGAATAAGAATAGTACTGAGCATTATAGGCTTTCAGTGACTGGAAAATCACAAAAGGCGAAATGCTGAAGAAATGTGAAAGCTTTTCATTTCCTATAGCTAATTGTTAGACATGGGTGACATGAAAACTGTTTGAAGAAGAGTTACAAAAATGGGCTGAAGAACCTTCTGCTATAAAGTGCAGGATTCTATTCTTGATTAAGAAATGTTTCAATAATGTTGTAACCTATGTACCAAGGCATGATCAAAAGCCTGAGGCATTATTACAGGAAGCAGCTCGTTTTAAGCATTTTAAGGAAGTAAGACAATCACATTGGATTACAACATTTCTCTTCTTGATGGGATGCTAGTACTAGAAAGATCTTGTCAGCTTGTGACAGAATTAATCAATCACCCAAAATTGCTTCCGATATGCTGGTCAAGTATGTATCTCGAGGATCCTCTACCCTATATTCACAAAGCATACAGACCTTTTCTTCTACAGTTTGCTCAGACTATATGAAGCACCTCCTTGGTGATTATACTTGGAATGGTGAGTTATCAACTTGTAAGGTAAGTAATGAATGCCAAATACACCTTGTCGGATTTCAGTACCAGAAACAGCATTTATATAACTTCAAATAAATTTTTGTGTTGTAAGTGGAAGCTGTTTTATTAATATTTCTGCTGTAAAACATGATAATTAGGCTCACAGTGTTAAAATTATCACAGGGTTTGATGTTTAATAGTTCTTTTTCTTAACACTTCCCTATTGACATTTTGGTTGACCATTTATGTCGAACAAAGGAGACACTACTGTATAAACATACATGTAACATATGAAATATGAAAGACAAACAAACTTACTAACTTAATTGAAAAAACAGACCTTTTCATTCCTAATTTTAATTTAAATACTGCCCCTTAAAGCCCTCTCTGGAATGCATCATTTCTTCTGCTGTAATCCGCAATGCTGTAAACTCTTGGCCAATCGCTGTTAAGAATGCAAACAAAGGATTCATAGC